GTCAATCTACGTTTAAGACAAAATTCTGTTTTTGAAAAAAAAGAGCATTTTCATTATGTGGGATCAATTCAGCGTTTAAATATTCAGTTTGAACATTCTGTAAATTGCTACATGTACAAGGGTGCCTAGTATAGGGAGATCTTCTTCGATCTCCACTTCTAAATGATACTAAATCTCTGGAAAAGTTGGATTGGGGTTATTGTGGAACATGCCAATGTTATTTTATCACTTTTTTTTAACAAAAAGGAGTATGTTCACCTGTCAACAAAAGGGATGCGACTCTTGATCTGAACAGGGCAGGCTATTGAAGATGCCGCCAATATTAGTTGAATAAGCAAAAAAACTGACTACGTTTTAAGACCTACCATCTCATTTCTCACAAGCGCAACTCAACTAATGGCCAAGGTTAACTGTTCCGATGAAGAAATTTATCAACCGGAAATAAAATAACTTCTTCAGTTATTTAACCGAAATGGATTTCCCTTTAAAGTGTTTAGTCTATGCCCGTGGCAACAACAGTCGACTGAAGCCACTTCCGTATATACGCCTAACCAAACGGTCGGTGACCACGCCCATAAGTGAACAATACATCTGAGCTTGTAGAAAAGTAGCGGAAATAAATTATCACAGAAAGTTAGCGTGCCCAGCATGGTCACCCTAAACACAAGACTGGTTAGTTTAATGGAAATTAAAACGTCTACAGCATTCCATGTGCCGGCCTTGATGCAGCCTACTGCCGCCAAACCGGTAAATTGAAGCATTTTTTCTCCGGAGTAAATTTGGGCAAGGTAAAGATAACAAGATTAGCAATTAACTCCCCGTCCTTTACCCCTCACCATGCGCCCACATCTATGCCTAATTGTTTCTACTCCCTTTACCTATCAAGTTTCACCCATCGAGGCTGATACTTAATTGGACAGCTAATACTCTTATTAACAGGCAACGACCGTCTGCAGCTAAATGAGAGGTCATGAAATTCATGACGTCATTAAATTCTGCTAATCTAGTGATCTTCGCCTTGTAAAAACCGGTAAATGTATCAATTGGCATATATTAACACTTCATTACAGTGATGGGAAAATACTACTTCTCCCAGCTTGCCATACCACGAAGGCCATGCAGACTTTCACAAATATGTCTAAAGGAAATCCTCAACAATAAATGCAGATGGAGGAAGTCTATCCTAAATGAGAAACCAAATGCAGCGCACACACAGAGATATTCATTTACAGTTGTTGGAGCGGAGACGAACCTATTTTTCGCCATTGTATTTTGTCTTCGCAAATAGCTACCTAGCTACTCGGCGCCTATTCAGAGGAAATAGAGAAGTACGCATATTAAAGGGAAATTCAATTGGGGATTCGAAAGTGCAGTATCCTCCTCCCAATCGTGATACGAAAGCGAACGCCTACCTGAAGCTTCAACAGTAGAGCTCAGTTGGGTTTATGAAAGAATAGCATTTTCTACTGACATGAAGCACAATTTCGGTTCTTATGAAATCAGCTTTAGAGAAATATAGCGTCAATAATCATAGTTTTAAGTGTCAAAGTTTACATCCACCGAGATAGCAGCCTGTGACAAAGCCGTTCCTAATAGAACTTAAAACTCGAAGTGGGAGAGATTGTGAAACTGCTTTGAGCTTTCAAACAACATACTAAATATAAAATATTTGTAGGCAATACTCACTGTCTGTGGGCCGGCGGTCGAGGGCGCAGTCTCCTGCTTCCAACGGAAAGTCATCGGCTTTGAGGTCGGGGCGTTGGAAATTTTGAAATCCCCTTCTTTATATGAGTTAGCTTAACTAATGCTATGCGTATTCAGTGACAGTTAAATTTCGAACCCCCGATCGCTCATGTCGCATATCGGTCGACTTTTTTCGTAGTAGTGGTAGTAGTAGTCATCTTTATTTTACTATTTTGGCATCACCTGTTTCCCAAAAGGGCGCAATCTATCCACATATAGCAACGATCCCCTCCCCCCAAGGAAATATTAGTAATGCATGCTGCACAATGGCCTTAGCTTGAGTGTCGGTTTTGTTTATTTTCGTTTTTAGTTTGGTTTTATTTTATGGTTACCTCTGCCAAAGGGCTCTAGACAGAATCCGAACCGTCAGGCAAATAAACTTCTTGCTGCAGCTACCGCTTATTCTGTTTTTGAGTTTAATTTTAATGTATTGTAGGTTCACATGAATGTCGACGTGCGGTCACTTTTTGGCTTAGAAGCTATTGTGAATTTAAAGAAATGTGGGAAAAGCCTTCCTCTCATGATTTTAATTTAACCTTCAAAAATCGATATACGATTGTTTCCTATTCGCAGGTACTATTCGATGTAGAGTTCATATCAAATTGTATCCAATTGGCGGGTACTATTGGGCCGTTCTTGTTTGGTATTGGTTGTGTTTTTCTTTTTAATTATCGCCCACCAAAACGCTAGGTTATTGAAATAATTATTCCTATTATTTGCTCATTTATACACTTTAGTTTTTCAATCACAATTTTCATTCTCCTGATATGCTCCACTCAGTTAACCTCCAGTAGCAACGGTCTCGTATAAGGAGTGCGGTTTTCACATGATGTAGTGAGACTGAAGGGAACTGCTACCGCGTGTTCTGAGGACAAGCTCTGAGGGAGATTTGACCTGACAATGAAGGTCGAGGGTTAACAGTCTAGCGTTAAAAGCCCGACAAAAGATCTCATGAGTGAATATTCCAATAACTTTGTTTACTTACTTTTATGTTTTCGATTATTTGCTCAATGTCCGACTTCACCTTACGCAAGTTGACCCCGGCGGTAGCTATGCGTTTTAAAGAATCGTCGGGAAGATCGGCGTGCTGTACAACGTCCTCCCAAAAGAGCAGATCAGCTTCCACCTGCTGAAGGAACATATTCGCCTGAAAAGGCGAAAACTGCACTGAAAGTCGACATCACTTAAAACACAAACCCATCTTCCTTGAGATAACCGACTTTAGGTAAAATTTTTGTTTGTTTCAATAAAGGCATCATTTTCGATGTAAAAAAAACGTTATAAAATTCCCTCTCTTTAGTTGGCGATCAGTTTGGCGCTCTATCGTTTAAATTATATCCATCACGTCTCTTATTACCTCCTAACAGTATTTACTACGTTGGCCAATGTCCAATAAGTACAAATAAGCAGACCCTGCAGATAACGCGGTATACTTGTCAGTGCAAGTGGGACTCACAAGGTGATTATCACTTGCTCAAAACTCCGACCAAACTATATGAGAAAAATCAACCATTTTAGCAAATCGACTGAGGTTTCGTGATAGGAAATTTAAAAGATGTATACCCTTTCTCTATGCCAGAGAGAGCCATCTAATCGATAGTGTTTCTGTTTAGGCCCCCTAGGAATAGACAATTAAGCATCGACGCCTTATCGTCACACGACTGAATGTCAATCCGATAATAAAGGCTCCCCCGCAATCCAGCCTCTATAACCCACATTACAAACTGTAGCCGACCTTCAATTCAAAAAACAAAATAGATATAGTGCATTTTAAATTGCATAGGTTAGTTCTATGGCCAACTGCAGTTTTGACGTAGTTGTCATACAATAGACTTTAGTTAACCCAATCAAATCAGTTCAGCGTTGGCTGCTTAAAGGCCATCCCTACGGTGCGGGTTCGACTCCCACCGAAGCTGCGAGTATTTGCACAATTGGGTTAACTAAAAGTAATTAAATCTAAAAAACTCCTCATACGATAAAGACGAGTTCTACTGCCAGTGTCAAGAGGGATCAGGTCAACTGTTTAACCTAATCATTCTATTTATCAGCAAT